CATCTTTTTTCTTCCACTTAGAGTGTAATTTTTTTCAAATTTCTAGTGAACTTTCCCAACACTATTAAATTAAAAGTATTTTAACAAATATTTTAATAAATTAAAAAGCTGGCTCTCTGTGTCAAGACGTGGAATTTGTCACGTCCCTGACGCCTCACACACCGGGTCAGGGTGTCTGCTTCTGAAGAAACAGGTTGGTTGCCACCGCGAGAGGCTTCCACCTCAATTTCATAACCTGACGGTTGTGTGTTGTGGTGCTAGTTTCCACACTTAGAATGGATGTGAGAGTGTCTCCCTGAATGGGTGTGGAGAGGGTCCTGTTAGACAGTGGGGACTGGGTCCAGGGGACACGCCCCCCAAGAAGCTTCCAGACTCTAATGACCCCTCCCGACATACACACCCAGGACACGGTGCTTCCTGTGCCCGTCGTGGGAGGAGGGCAATGATTTGCAATCGCACTGGGACTCTACAGAGACCACCCCCATCTAGGGGGCGTCCAGACTAGGCCACCGCACGTCACCAGGCCTGCTGTCACAGGGGTGCTGTGTCCCACTGGCTGAGGGGTCTTCGGGGCTGAGGCACAGACGGATGGTATTTCGCTGCCCCTGCGGGAGGAAGACCATGCAAAGCCTCTCCCGGGGGCCCACAGCCCCGTCTGTTTTATGGGGGGATTAATTAGGTTTATTTATTTATGTAATGGAGGTGCTGGGGACCGAACCCAGGACCTTACACATGCTGAGCACACGCTCCACCAAGCTCCACCCTCCCCCCACGGCCCCTGTGGTGATGCGTAGGGGGCCGGGAATGGGGGCCTTGGTTTGCTCTCCGCCGCTGCCTGGCTGCCAGGGTGGGTTTTCACAGACCACACCCCTGCGTCCTGCGTGTGCACACGTGTGCCTGCGGAAGGCAGGGAGGTGACAGTGGCTCTGTCCCTGCCCTGCAGCCTCTGCACCCAAGGGTGGTGGGCACACACCAGGGACAGGGCCCCACCCTGGGTGCCAGGGGCTGAGTGGTGTGTTTCAGATGCTCAGCTTTTTCGGAAACCTTCAGGGACTGAAGCGGGGAGGCTGGGAAAGGCACCACCTGGGCCAGAGCAGCGTTCGGGCTGTGGTGACTCAGAGCGAAAGGCTGCGGCCGGGGCTGGGCGCCGTCTTGGGGCCTGGCCTCCTGGCAACCCTGGGAACGGAGGGCGAGGGGCAGAGGGCGGCTTTCAAGGAAAGTGAGACTCCCATCCCCTCCATCCCGGGGCCTCCATCCCAGGGCCTCCATCCCGAGGTCAACGCAGATGCTTCAGAAACCGTACAGACAAGCGGCAGGGAAGTCCCTCAGCAGGAAAACGGCCCCAGACTCTGGGAGGAAGTGACAGCTCTCAGCAGTGACTCCTCTGCCCACACGAGCTTTTGAACCAGGACCTGCCATTCTTTTTCAGTGATTTCACAGAAAGCTAGTGTGGGAAAGTCGTGCACATTTCTAGTTATTAGCAGCAGGAAAGGGCATCACTCCCTCTGCGGCGGGGGAGGGGACGCCAGGTAACAAACAAGGAGAGAGGACAGGCAGGCAGCCCCCACCCCTGACCTGCTGTCCTGCCCCGGGGGAGGGTCGGCACAGGCCTGCCTTGCCAGGAGCGGTCCGTGTCCGGGGGCAACGTGATAAACAGCGCATGGTCCGCTGGCGGCCCCAGCGCTGGGGAGGTGACAGTCAGTCACCTGGACACCCTCTGCACTCAAACACAGAAGCCGAAAAGACACACCGGACATATGTCTGTATATGGATGACTGGACGGCGTGCTGTGCACCAGAAACTGACACAACATCCTAAACGGACTAGACTTCAATTTAAAACAAAGAAACAAAACAAGCAGGGGAGCGTCCTTACGGCTGGGTCGTTGTCACAGCTACGCCGATGAGTTGTCCTGAAACACCAGCCTTTCTTAGTTTTGCTGTCTGTTGGGTATTCCCCTGCCTGAAGCTCTGACCCTGCTGGAGAGTCCGTGGCGGCCGGAGGGCTGGGTGCCCACGGCAGGGCTGCGACGAGGTGGCACCGGGCTGTGTGACTGGCGGGGACGGCGCACTACGTCAGGGACGATGAGTCCCACTGTGGGAGAGGCGCCCTGGAGACCCCGGCAGGAACTGGGAAGAGGTGCACACCGGACGGGTCTCTGCACAGAGGAGGACCAGGTACCCTCGAAGGTTTTGGCCTTGGTGGTTCAAAGGGTGCTGGGAGGGCGTGGGTTTCCAGCAGGCTGAGCAGAGAGTGGCGCCAGCCCCCTGGGGAAAGGCCGGGATGATGGCTAGACACACAGTGGAGCCAGGAGCCTCCGGGGCTGAGATGCAGGCGGTGCGGGGAGCCGTCCACGCAGATGCCCAAAGGAGGGCGGAGCCTTGAGATGGCCCCTCGCTCATGGGGGAGAGAAGGGAGGAAGGGGCTTGGGGCCTCACCGTCACAGGGACTGGCAGCTTGGGATTCTGGGTCCAGGGAGCTGCCCCCGCGGCCCATGGAGCGTGTGTGAACCTGACGGGGTCAGACCAGGACGCCAACTCGGGGTTCATAATTTGAGGGCAGAAGTATCAAAAGTAGGAAGTAGAGGGTGCTCAGCAGAAGCCAGGCCGAGCCTGGGTCTGATTTTGGAATTTGGAACAGGACTAGGCAGCCCTCCTTTCACGCATACATTTGGCAAATATTAATTGAACACGATTGTGTTCAGGCACCAATTAAGAATAAAGAATCCAAGCACGATCTTCCAGTGTCCAGACACGTCCGTGTGCTCCCCGCGTGGAAGTCAGGATGACGCAGTTTGCAGACGCGCCTTTGCTGATCGCCGTGACTGACGTCTCTCCAACTCAAAATCCAGGTGTGAGCAAAAGTAGCATGTGGCTCCCTCCCCCTGCGCACGGGGCTTAGTCTCGTGTTCCTCACGAGGTCGGCCCTAAGACTGATCTTGCTCGGCGCAGCAGAAGAGGGCTCGCCTCCACGCCCCCTCGGTCCGCACGGCCCTCGCGGCGCAGACCATCAGCCGGCTCACGGGTCTGGCCGCACCCGCCTCGACACAGCTGGGCTCCTGGATGGAACGGGCCCTGCTGCTGCGACCCTTGCACCCGGTGGCTGCTTCCTCGATACCTTTAAGCAACGGTGAGCAGGATCGGTTTCTTCTCAGTACATCCACAGCCCCCACTTCCCATCTTTGTGAACCCACATGTTCCAGGTGCAGGACCCCTGTCGGGCTCGGGCTGAGGCTGTGCTGCTGGCTCGAGTCCCGGGGAAGACAAGCAAGTCCACTCCGGCTGCACGTGCGTCTCTGTCCACGGAGCCTGCGTTCCCACCCAGAGCACCTGTCAGACTCAGTCTCTCCACCGTGGGGCCCAGGGAAGGGGGTTTGGAATCCAGGGGCTCACGCTCCGGCCATGCTGCCGGCCCTCCCCAGCTCTGGGCCCCTGGACACTGTGACCGACTTTTTAAGGCCTGTGGATGGAGACGCTCCTGCTCAGCTCCCCGCAGGGAGCGAGTCCAAAGACCTCCTACATCATGAGGCGATGCTGAAGTTGGTGGTTTCCATTTGTTTCAGGGTTGAGAGCCACGTTCCTTCCTCCTGTAGACGTGCAAATCCCGGAGCACGAATCACTGGTGGGGGGACCAGGACCGCGCAGTTGGACCTAACTGTCAGCCACACACGCCGGCTGCCTGGAGTGTCTGTAGCCCCGAGATGCTTCTAAGGGAGAGTGCTGTCACACCGAAAGTAACAGCCCGGGGAGCGGGGTGGGGTGGGGGGCGCAGAACAAGAGACTGCCGGAGTTGCGGCAGCGCACCGCCTTGCGTAACGGGTTTAAAACAAAAACAAGGACAAAAGCAAAAAAACCTTAGTGGGACTTTGAACATTTATTTAACTCAATTGCTTTTATCCTCTTCAATGGAAGTCATTTTTTTCTTTCTGAGGTAAATATAAGCCACTGTGGATGGAGGTGGCTTATTGACAAATGTCACAATGTTGCTGAACACATCCAGGAGACCTTGTCGTCGGGGCATCTGGACTGGGAGCCGGGGTCGCTGGCAGACCCCCGGCGTGGCGAGCCGCTCTCACAAACCATCCGAACGACCCAAGTAACTCTCTCACTTGTTTCTCTTAAAAGCAGAAGTGCCACCTCGAGAAGCTGGAGACGGGCTTTTTCCAGGCTGCTGAGGGATGATGAGGTGTCCTCCCACTGCCTGGGTCCCCGGGCAAAGCTCCTCTGCCACTGTCGCTCCATGCAGACGGGCGGGGACACGGGCCTCTGTCCCCCCGCCCCATGAAGGCCTATAGTCCCCAGCCAGGCGCACGCTCCCGCACAGGGTGCCCCGCAGGGCCCTGCGGTCTGGGTCTGTCTCTGGTTCTGCCTGAGCCTCCCGGTTCACACCCTGAGGCTGAAGTTATAGGTCTGAGAAAGGAGAGCGGGAGCCCCACGTGGCCGGAGCCCAGCCCCTCCCAGGACCCGCAGGCGGCAACACACCTGGCTGGCACCTACAGCTCTCTCTTCAGACACAGGGTCACGTGTGAGGATTTCCTTTGTTGTTAAACTGTTTTTTGATCCTTTCTTATTGCTCTGGTCTGAACGAGGCGAATCAGCAAAATCAGAGTGAACCGTCCAGAGTGATAGCCGAGAACTGGCTTCCGTGGCCACCACCGTGGGCTGTGCGGCCACTCAGGGTCAGGGCACAGAGGGTGGACGCCAACACGGCGGGCCGTATCTGGTGATTCACCAGAAGGCAGGGAGGTCACATGGACGCGAGGCGAGCGCAGCGTCCACTCCGCGGTGCAGGCCGTGTGAGCTCGGCACAGAGCAACGCGCTTGCCACCAATGCCACCCGAGGCCGGGCTCAGACGACAGCGCATGCTCGTTACTCTCATGACTTGTATCCAAAGCGTCCAACTTAAACACAGCTTCAGAGAAAGGAAGACCATATGATGAGTTTGCCCAAGCTCAAATGAAGTAACAAGAAACATGTTTTATTCAAGAAACAGACAGGAGTCACTGGCTGCCATGCTTTTATTCAAACGAAAGGGGAAAGCTACATGGTACCAGGAAGCAGCAGACACGACCCAATTTACAGCATCTCAACCAAGCCTGCCAGCAGTGCTCTCGAGCGGACAGGGGAACACTCCGCAGGCCGCACGCTGCCCGAAGTGTCCATGAAGCCACCATCTGGAAGCTGAATTCGGCTTTCAACAGCCACATAAAAACTGTAACAGTCTTTCTAAAACAAAACCGAAAAGCTGAGAGGAATTAAAAGCTTTCCCCAGCTGTGTCAAGCAGCAGACTTCGACAGCTGCACCGGTAACCATGACGAGCGTTCGGCAAACTGAACTGAATGATTATCCTAAGAATTTGACCTCCAATGATGAGAAGCACCAGTGGGTTTCAATGAAACTCTCCAGACTTTACGAAATAGCATAATTTTCATTGGTATAATTTTTAAAACATAATTTTTAAAAAGCTGCCCCATAATAGAAAAGAATCTGCAGACTTAAATAACTGTCCGTATTCTTCCTGCATTAGTAGAGTGAAACATTACACTGAGAGCAGGGACTTCCGTGCGATGTTCACGTCCTACCTGTTGGGACACACACACGTTTAAGGATAAAGCGTGGTCCTGACTGGTTTTAATTACTTCCTCCATTGTCTTGCATCCAATTTTTAAAAATTTAATGGCCAAGTAACATCACAATGATTGCTTTAGGTAAGGGAAATTTAAGTGACTGAAAAGAACAAATTTAGTAACGTAAAACGCTTCTTAATTCTCCTTTTGACTTTCACCACATTTTGTTTAGATTCACTTACTTTTTTTCAGTCAATCTAAACATGTTTTTGAAAATCGTTTCCTGTGATAGAAACTGTTGTCTGAAAGGTAAAATGTGCAATTCCCCATTTTTAATCTTCATACATTATATACACAGTATGTATACACTTAAAATATAAGAGTTACATATCCTGGTCTCCTACATGCAAACAGTAGATCACAAATAGTTTTGAGCTACACATGTATCTTGCACAGGAATTGGAAAAAAATCTGTGAAAATTTTTTTACAGTTTAAACAAATATACATAAATATAAGAACATAAATTACAGTAAAATATTGACAACACTTGAGAAAATGTCGATAACCCAGATGCACTGATGCCTCATGGCCTCATAGGAACAGGAAAGTGCAGCTCAGCGACATCTCACTCCTACTTCTTTAAAAATAAGTAAATACATCATACGAGATACTAGTCATTTCTCCAGACAACTCATTAGAGAAATGGGTCTATTTCAGTCTCTACTTCCCGTGAAAGAAAGCCAACCACGCACCTCGTACAGGTACAACGCTGTCCTCCCCTCTAGCTACACAGCCACCACAACACTGAAACATGACAGGGCCAAGCATCATTCAAGTCTTTTCCTGAGAATGAAGGTCCCCCACTAGCCCTCTGGTACACACGGTTAAAGATCACGTAGAGAAGGGTTCAAGCATGGACGTAAATCCAAGCCGTCCCACTTGAGAAGAATAAAAAGGAAGAAAAACTCAATATAAGTAAAATAAGGTGAAGCTATTTTAAAATTAAAATGTAGCCCTTTGTACATGTTTAAAAATTCTAAATATAATTTTTATATCAGTTATAAATATAATGTAAAGACCTCTTGAGAACTTGCGGCAGGAAGTCTCCCATCCTCAGACTCAGAGACTTCTCTCAAAGTGCCATCCACTTCTGCCAGCTTATAAAGTGACAGACTTTAAAAGAGATAGAAAGCCTTTTTGTTAAAAGAACAATCTAACCTATTCTGAGTTGGCCAGAAGTGGTGTGAGACCAGCACTGATTTAATCAGCAACGTCGGTCAGCATGTCCTGCGTTAAGCTCACGTGGCTTCAGCGACCCTATAGCAGCTCTCTCCTCACAAGTCCTCCTCTTACCCAATGGAGAAACGTTAATACTTGAGTGAATAATAAATACAGGATTGTAAATACTGAGCAGAGCAATTCTTGCAAATACTCTAACACCATCAAAACATGAGGGTCACTGTAAAACTCAACACTAGTGTTCCTCGCAGCCTCGCGGGAAGGTGCGCGTGACTCCGAGGGCCTGCTTCCTACTCTCCTGATCGTGAAACCAGACACCAAGGACCTCAGAGCAAACGCCCAGGGGAGGAAACAGTGAAACAAAGTGCCCGCAGACGAGCACACACATCAGAAAGGTGAAAACAGAAGCAACAAGTAAGACACGTAATTCACAATCTCAGCCGTACTTCAATCCTGGGTCCAAGTCGTGTCCGTGAGAACTCAGCGCTTCAGCGCCGGGCACACCACCAGGAGGACCCGGCGACACAGCCTCCACCGCGCGTCCAAACGCCTCTCCGTCACCCGCTCCCACCCCAGACACCGGGCTACATTCCAGTTGTCATGACCACAGAGCTGAATGTGCAGTCCAATTACTAAAAGCCTGCTGGCAATCAGAAAGGCTTCTACAGGCAGGAAAGATGACGTGCAAACTTACCACAAGCGTCTGAAGCGAGCACCCCCAGCCCCTACGCTTTTGCGGGTAAGAGTTTTTTGGGGGTCACAGGCCTCCTGGTCTGCCATAAGTGGCTGTGGATGGTGATCGCGTCGACACTGGCGGATAAGGTTTTAGCAGGTATGTGGCTAAACTGCTTCCTGTCGGAGTTGTATTTGTAAAGTCCCTCGATCATCTTCTTAGTGATCGCCCTGGGGCCTATCCCAGTCAGCTTGCTAATGTCCTCAGTCTCCGGGCAGTACGTGTACAGAGACCTGAACTGGCAGCCCGAGTCCCGGAACAAGATCAGGAAGTTGTTGGCGTCCGACTTCTCCATCTCCTGCAGGACGAGGGACAGAAGCAGAGACTCAGCAACCGCAATGGAGTCGACTTGCGCCACTGGGTCGCGCCTCATCAGCTGTAGGGCACGGGGCTCACAACACAACTCCTAGCGGCCGAAACGAGCCGCCCCCACAGAAGCACAGCACGCTGCGCTAGACCCGCGTGCTGACAACCGAGCACGGAGGCCGCTGGCCCTGCGTGGCTGGCACAGCCAGCACAGTCCTGCGGGAAGCCTGAGACCCGAGCATCCGCTGATCTTCTCAACTGTCTCCATCGCTCACACCAGCACTGACAACCTCCTCTGCAACACAGCTTCGTTTTTAAAAGGCAAATTATGTTACCTACATTTTGCAACATGAGTGAGTGACTCCGGGCACGAAAATGATTTGTAGCTTTACGGTACCATTTGAAATCTGTCCCTAGCCTTTAGCGAAATCTGCAGTCCTTCAGATTCGCACTTGAAAGGACACACTCTAACAGCGAGAACACGGTTACAGACCCTTCACGAGCAACGTGTCCTCTGAGCCGACAAAGCAGTGACCTCCCGCCAGTTCACTCTGTTGTCACTTCTGTCAGGCAGGTGTGCTTACCTCCAGTATTTTTTTCTTCTGACCTTCATTTACTTTTCCAGCCAAACAGCAGTGAGCTAACGCGTTCTGTATTATGTGCTTATTGGATTTTGCACTGGGTTCTTTGTAGAGCTTTGGTCCTGTGGTAAGAATTTAGTAACAATAATAAAGATAACATTCTTAGGTCAGAAACACCACTACGCTTCGATGAGGTCACTGTTCCTGCACGGATGAAACACAGTAACAGAAACTGAAGTCCGTGTCTGACGGCCCCTGGCTGGCTGTACTCCAGTCTGAGCACCGTTACCCACAGGGGCTGCCCTGGGGCCGGGGCACACGGTCTGTTTCACCAGCTTTCTCAAGTCTGTGAGGTTACTGGTGAGCAAAAGAGGACCTTGAGGACTTTAAGCTTTTAAAAGGCAAGAGAAAACTCCCTTTTTCTTCCTCCACACCTCTGTTTTGTAAGCCTTTCTTTCCCCAATGATACTCAATCCACAAAGCACAAAAGCAGGTGCCCGGGACATCGCACAGGCTCCCTCCTGCCTCACATTAACCGAAGTGCATCCTGGAAACTGTGCTCTGTGAAGGAAGGAAATCAGCCCTGATTTGTGTATTTACTGTTCTGTGGCGAAAATTACCCCTACCGTGGCAGAGCCCAAGCTATGATGGTTCTAGAGTCTGCATAATTCCTGAAAAATTTAACAGCTGGTCCAAGAGCTGGTGTAAGCTGGTCAGTGAACACCGAAGCCCGCAGTTCCAGGCTCACGGCAGCAACCGTGACTGTCAGCTGGCCTTGAAGGCGGTCAGACGGGCGGGGGAGGCTGCATGAAAAGCCACAGACAGGGCAGGGGAAGGCGCGGAGTGAAGCGGAGCCCTTGGAGGGCACGGGCTCCGGGCACCGGCGGGCCTGCCCCCACCCCGGCCGCTCCTCTGGACGCATCCTGACCTACACCCTGCTGCCTGCTCTGCCTGGACGCCGCCGACCCCACAGAGGCCGCCAGCCCTCAGGGATCCAACTCTGTCCTCAGTCGTTGCAGCCTCTCCACACTTGCTGCAAACGCATGAGCCCAGGCACCAGAGACCCCAGGGACAGGGGACGTGGAGCCAGCCCTCGTGGTCCCCAGGAGCCTCTCTACAACTGCGTCAGACCCAAACCACGACAGAGGCGGCCAGCATTCCCCGTGGGAAGTAGAGGGGTGAGGTGGACGCGGGGCTGCTGTGCTTTGGAAACCACCTCAATCTACACGGGACCAGTGCCACCTCCGAGTGGCGCCGTGTCACTGACACTGACCCACCTGGAAGCAACCACCGGCGTCACCATCACTGGGCAGTGAGGCGTCCCCGGCACAGCCGGTGCCTGTCCTCAGCCCCATGTCGCTCTGCTCCCCTAAAACCGTGCGGACACTGACCTGTGTACTCCGCCCCGGAGGCCACGGACGACGTGGTGGACGCGTTCTCCCAGTCCTTCTCCCCGTTCCGACTGCCGCAGCGGCCGGGGGACAGAAAGCCTTCCACAGACTCCGATCTAAGGCACAGACAAAGTATTTTTTATGTCTTAAATGGAGGAAGAACATTCGGGGTCAGAAGGGTATATGTGAGTGCCAACCAAAATCGACCTAGACTCTTAAAAAGAAGACGAGGGAGGCATGTCCACGTGCCCAGAATCCGCAGGCGCCCCACAACATCTGCTGAACGACAATGAACGTGCGTCCACGTGAAAACCGGCAATTAATGCAACAGGACAGGCACAGAGATGAGCGCTCAGAGCTGACGACTGTCACTTTTTCTCACGGGGGTTACAGTGTAAGACCGTGAAATGCTGGTCTTATTTCTAGCGTCTGTCCTAATAAAGAGAGCACGCACAAGAGGCCCCGCCTGAGGGGCAGGCAGCCTGCTGGAGGTGCTCCAGGGAGGGAAATAAACCAGAGAGGCTGGCACTACACAGACGAGGGACCTCCCATTCCTGCAGACCGTGATGTCTGTCACAACCCTGTCAGCAATGGCTGAGGCACAGCTACAGTTAGCATCTCATCAAGGTCACAGTTCTAAAATTCC